CTTGAGCTTCTGACTGATAACCCTGATAAGGTTTTTGTGATTTTACAGGGAGAAAATAAATGATGATGATAATCGTAATAATAATAGGCATGTCGTTAAGACATGCCTTTTCCAGACAGTTTAACCTCAATAAACCTCAAATAACCTCAATAAAATGCTACTTACACCATATAGTAATAAATGTATATTCAGTGACTGATGGTGTTCAATATTGTACAGATAGAAACACATGTAGGAGAGCTCCATGTAGGAAAAGTATCAACAGAGCACTGAAAATATGTTAGGCTCACAGATATGATTGTGCCTGGGCTGTCAGGGTAAAGATTTGCCACGCTGTGACAGTGTGCTTTACCCGCCCCTCCGCTTCCTCCTTCAGCCTGGCTGTTAAACACAAGGCCTTACTAAGGCAGATAATGAGCACACTGCTGGTTACAACTCAGGCCTGACTCAGATAGCCACCACAAATCTTTCTCAAGCTGAGTGCTGAAAGAGCTAATGGTAGACACCTGGTTCAACAAATGAGGGTCAATCAAGCATGTACTAAAAAGTGACTATAAGTCAATCATCTTATCCCATAAACAATGAATAGCCCCAAAGCTCCCTTAAGCTACATGGAGTGGGTTGTATGACAGGATCCTGCACTTTCTATTCTATTTAAATACATAGAATCATAGAATCATAGAATGGTCCGGGTTGGAAGGGACTTCAAGGACTATGAACCTCCAACATCCCTACTGCAGGCAGTGCTGACAAACTCCCCATTTAATACCAGAGCAGGCTGCCCAGGCCCCATCCAACCTGGCCTTGAACACCTCTAGGGACAGGGCATCCACAACCTCTTTGGCAGCCTGTTCCAGAACCTCACCACTCTCACTTCCCCCTGACATCCAGCCTAAATCTTCCCTCCTTCAACTTTAAACCATTTCCCTTTGTCCTGCTCTTATCTACCCTTTCAAAGAGTTGATTCCCCTCCTGTTTGTAGGCTCCCTTTAGGTACTGGAAGGCTGCAATGAGGTCATTCTGCAGCCTTCTTTTCTCCAGACTGAACAAGCCCAGCTCCCTCAGCCTGTCAGCTACACTTGTCTCTGTTTAAGGAATGAAACATAAACCAATAGAGGATAAAACAAGACGTGGAAAACTATTATTTAACTCAAAAGATTCCAACTTCTAGATGAAGGATTATACTGATCAAATAGTTTAGGTAGACAGATTTCTGTAACCTGGTAAGATTGAAAATACTTATGTGGCACAGCTGCAGCTGTTTCTGCAGCATGGGAGATTGTCTCATCTCTCAAATCTCTACAGCCAAGGCACCATAAGAAGCAGAAAACCATATTAGGTCAAAAAAATGGATAAGTCAAACAAGCACAGAAATGCTCATGTGTTTTTTGATGGAAGGAAACCACCCTTGATATCCCTGAGATATATATTAACGTTTTTCAACAGCTGCTACCTATCTTTTTGATGGTAGGATATAAATGTGATGGCTTGAATTTATTTTTATACTGGACTGATCTACATCTCATGGTCTACTGTTAATTGTGCTTTTACATGACTTTCACTATAATTGTGCTTGGGTACTTGTAACTAAAACCATCTGAGATATTTCTGAGATGCATCTACTCTGGAACTACAGCAATTAAAATAGTGATTATGTAGGACGAATCATTGCAATGACTTGGCATTCTAGCAAACAAATTTGCTCCCCCTTTTTACATATTATAGGCCCACTGAAAAATTACTGAGTTAATAATCAAAGAAAGATATTCCTGTGTTCTGTCCTTGATGTTAATCTGATGAATACATTCCAGAACATTGCAATAACTCTCTTATGTCAGTCTTCAAGAAATTTTTAAAGATGCTTCAAAGTTTATTAAGAACCAGCAGGATGGACTGAACTGAGTTTGGCACCTGAACGTGCAGATACATACTCAGTACAATTTCTTCATCAACTCCCACGGCTCCTTCTTAATTAATTATCTGATAAATTAAAAAAATCTCAGTAGCTGCTCAACCTTAAGGCCTTCCTAAGGCTGCCATTCCAGACACAAATTGAGGTGACAGAAAGTATACACTTCTCATGTATAATGGCAAAAAGAAGTTCTGGACTTGAGAAGCACAATGTTTTGCTGCCAATTATTCACCTAGCCTGAGTTGCTGACAGTTTCCTTTTCCTTTCACACTCAGACAACATCTCTGGTCACAGAAAAACATATAAAGGCCTGGAGAAAGAAATGGAAAATTGTATTTTGGAGGGGGAAATAGTGAAGTTCTGAGTCAGCTCTCTGATGCCTGCTATATTGAGAAGATTGTGACAGAATCTCCTAGGTCTGAATTATGATGAATTTCTGAGCAGGAGAATTTCTGAATACATTCATTTACATAAAACAGCAAGCAAATGAAAACAGGAGTCATAAATGTGAGAGTATTTACTTTCTGCCTCCTCTGAAGTGACTTCTCAAACTAGAGAAAATAATTCTTTAGTTTAATAAGCCAGAGAGCCATAGCTCTGCTTGAAGGAATAGTTGGAGACATAATGGAGAAAAAAGAGGAAGCAGAAACCACACAAATTCAGAGCTATAAAATATAGTGGAAGGAAAAACACTGGAAGGCAAAAGAAGAATAAGACACATCATTAATTAGTAATGCACCATGAGATTAAAACATCAGGGGATTTTAGAACAGTGGTAGGTCCGTGAAGTTTGGTTTCTGTGCCTACTATTCATATTTTGAGGAAAGAAAGAACTTGCCTATAAGATATATCTGTGGGAGTGTGGTGTGGTGTGTTACTTGGGGAAGGGAGATTTCCTTCCTTCAAAAGTTTTTGTTCCTTCAGTCTTGGATCTAATGAGAACCAAATGGATCCTGAATACTAGTATTTTATAAGGCCTGGTGAACAGATATTAGAACTTTCACCTGCTGTAATCTTAGCTAAAACACAGCTTGTACTGAGAAGAAAGAGTGCAGCGTCCCACAGCCTTCTGGAATTAAATCTTTCAATTTATAGATAATAAATCACTTAAAGCTGAAAACCACATTTAAGTAACACCTCATTGAGTCTTTTAAAAAACATTTTCTCTTGGTCAACCACATGTATAAATAGAGTTAAATAAAAATGATTTGTCTTGCTGATAATGAGACTAAAAGCACCAGTAGTGGGATAATAATACATGCTTTCAGAAAAATCCCGTTAATGTTCTTTAAAATAGTTCCCATTGCTCAGATGAAAGCACTGTCTTCTGTTAGCAGATAGGAAGGAAACATTACAGGAGAAAGCCTTTTTGCTTTCTTTTCTTTTCTTTTCTTTTCTTTTCTTTTCTTTTCTTTTTTTCTTTTCTTTTCTTTTTTTCTTTTTTTTCTTTTCTCTTCTTTCTCTTTTCTTCTCTTTTTCTTTTCTTTTCTCTTCTTTTCTTCTTCCCTTTCTCTTTCTCTTTTTCTAGATTTGAAGGTGTGTTGAGGTACTCTTTCAGGAAATTGTTATTATGATGAAATGTGCTAATGTTTTATTCCATGTGGATTAGTAATGTAGATATTCTAGGATGAAACTCACCATTAGAAATATACTGTGGGAAAAAAGATTTTCATTTATTTTTCTTCCCCTAGATTATTTTTATTGCTTTTTCTTCCAGAATAAATATTTAGGACTTGTGTTAATAGACAGACTCACTGGCAAATTAACTCTCCAGTAACCTACACTGCAAACAAGTTGCATGATAGTACTTTGGTTGCTTTTATTTATAAATTTTCCACAGTTTATCCATGTGAAAATGTCTCTGTAGACAGTTAATTGCAACCCACGTCTCAGAGATGCTATTTAGTGATACATTGAGAAAAAGATCAATTTATTACTTTTCAATCAGCTTATGCAGACTTCAAGTTTTCACAGTGAAAAGACAATATTGCAGAGTGACATAGCATCACAAAAAATCTTTCAGCAAGGACACCTTGTATGACTCTAGGGCAAACTATGAGATACTGTAGAATCATTGCAGGGTTGAAAAGCCCAAGTATTGCTCAGGCATTTCTGAGAAAGCATATCACTCACGGAACATGTTTCAGAAATTCTAGAAATAATCATAATTGTTTTTCCATGTCAGGACCAGCGACATGTATTGCTCAGCGAGGACTTCTTTTAGGAAATGAGACTGAAAAGCAATGAGCTGTGCTTAAGACACAAGGCAGTGTCCATCAGAAGGAAGTCAGACAGTTTCCTGGTAGATTCAAGGTATATAAGAGATCAAAACAAAAATCTCATCCAGCTGCCTTCCTTCTAACAGTTTTCAAGCTGATTCATTGTGCACTAAATCTAACATTAATTACATATAAGTTCATGCAAGAATGCTAATTAAAACAGTGTACCTAACACGTACTCTTATACCTTCCAGGCAACAAGAACACAGCTAGGAACAGACAGCTGTATGGGAGTATAAGATGTATTTGACCCTGCAGTTGTTAGGCTAATTTATAAAGGGAAATCTCTTGCCCAACTGTTGTTTCATCTGCTCTCTCATAAAAAATGACCATAGCAGAAGCATTCTTTTAATATAAGCTATTTGTATATTGTCATGAAGACTAATTACTTAAATGAGGAGTTCTACAACCACAGGAAATAAGGAAAACTTGCTCTCCATATATTTCTGCTTCATGCTTTACTGACTTTCAAAACTTTTGAAAGCTTCCCTTTGTCTGGGATCTGCTTAAAACCTCTTCCTGTGGGGGAGAGGCATGAACACGGACATCATCTTTTTTCCTCCAAGAGACATAACATGTAGGTTTGTTCCCTTGCTTGTCCATTTTCACAAAAGATATAGGAACTTATTTATTTTTGATACTTCTACTCCCTTGCTGAATTCTTTTAATAAAGTATCATTTTCATTGGGAAGAGAATGGAAGAGCAAAATTAGGAAAACACGTGGATGGGCACACTAACGGCAGAAGTTTCATGAGGTTTGCTGCTTTGTCAAGTCAAGACCCTCACACACGGATGTCAAATACACCAATTTTATTTACATACATGAGACTGTTGATTTCATTCCAAGCGTTCTTGAAAAATTCTGTAATAAGGAAACCCACAAAACATGAAATGCCTTAATATACTTGTTGGGTGATTTTTAACATCTGTTATTCCCCAATATAGAAAGAGATTATGACACATCACTCAAAGGCTCCCTCCAAACAGCATGAGATGAAACCTCTAATTTCCTATTAGCACTTCTGTACCTGTTGAAGTGAGTGTAAGCCACAGCATTTGGATTCAGACATGAATCAGAACTCCCTAAAAGTGCTTATACCTGAGATTTGGGGTTTGATTTGTTATAGAGATAAAATGGCCACCTATGTGTATTTATCTAGATCCCAGTCTACATTTTATGCTTAAAAGTAATCAGAATTTTGGCTTTAAAGTTACCAAGAAAAAAAATCTTCACGAAATCGAACATTTTCAAATACTTGTCATTTAGCTTAAGGCAAAAATTCGTAGGAATTTCTGGAATGCAGACAAGGGGTGTTTAACAAAATTAATAGAAGATTTGAGTCTAAACCTTTAGATGAAAGTCTCAGTCAATGCTTGGTGAAAGAATGATGTTTTTCTTTTTTCCCTTAATTAAAAAAAAAAAACAGTTTAAATTAGTCTTTGGGCTGCCTCCTGAAGTAATTTAACATCTACCCCACTCCATTGGCGTTCATTGACTCTACTGAATCTTAGAAAAGTGAGAATGTGTTTTAGTTAAAAAGATTTTGAAAAAACTTCAGTTATGTATGCAAACTCTTACAACTGTTAATACCATATATTTTTTTGAAGATTTTATATGGTCTGGAATACTTGTTGTTAATTTTGTTTGGCAATCAAATAATTGCTAAGGAATGTATTTTAAATTCATTAACATAGTATTGTTTAGAGATTTCAAAGATAATTTGCTTAGAGACAAAACTTTTGAATGATAAAAATTTATACAGTATTTATCTACATTATCTGTTATTCTCCTCAAAGTATTTTCTATACTGTGCTAAAGCGTGAAGGGAAGAATAAATTGGTTAAACCACCTGAAGTACACAGTAACATTATCTGCAGCTGTTCATACTTCAGCTGCTAGGAACACTTCTTCCTAATTAGGCAGTTATTTCTGATGACTAATTTATCCATACAAAAGCTGAGCATCTTTTATATTAGTTTAAAGGCTAGTAACTTAGGGAGAAAAAAAAAATACAATCAGTTACTGCACTTCTAACTTAGATGGCACCCATAATTTTACTGAAAGCTCATAATGTTTAGTGGTGTTTCTCTATTTTTCTTCAAAGCATTGGAAGTCAAGTTTACATGAAATTGTAGCTTTTATCTCCCAAAAATAAAAAAAAAAACTTGAGTTTTTTCTACAATTGATTTGTTTAAAAGCACAGGTTGGCAGTCATTGCAGACTATCAAGTACTAGAATATTAATCTTCTGTATGTTATGCTGATTTTTTTTTTTGGATGCTAAGATCTGAAAAGTTATTATTTTGTGCTCCTAGGTACATGGCTACTGTTACATGTTTAAGAAGGATATGTTTAAGAAGAATAGCATGCATCAGTGTATGACTGACTGATCTGCTGATGGACTAAGTTCATTTAATTCATACATCAGGAAGCTCCTAAGCCTGAAGCATTCCATATGATAAAAATCAAGTTTTCTGTCCTCTGCATGACAGCCAACCACAAGGGACACTAAGGAACAAAAAGATTTCTGGAATCAAAGGGAGGAAAGGAATCAATCCACTCTGAATTGATTTTCAATATTATCAGTGTTAAAGAAATAGAATTCTTCTTACAGTTTGAACATAGCAAAATGACAAATGATGGGTTAACCACTTGCTTTTCTTATACCTGATTTTCAAAATGGCTGCAGCAAGTGAAAAAAAATCTTAAGGTTTCTTTAATTTTATCAGGTAAAATAAGTCCAGCATATGATCCAGCATATAGATAAGGGGAGATTAGTCTGAATAAAACCATCTAGTTTCCTCTCATTTTGGATTGCATTAATTGTTTCTCAAAGTGTAAAGGGGGGGCTTGCATATGCATTCTAAAGCAGGAAAACCACAAATAAGTCTTGGCATAGCAACGTCATCCTATAAAGCAAGACTGAACAGGATAATATGTTAATATAGTTTCAATCTACAAGAAAAGATCAGCCATGTAAATGATATATATCTTCAGACAGAAAGGGTGAGGAGACAGGAAAGACCCATTCACAGGAGTAAGACTGTAAGATATATCTCTCTGAGCAATAACTGTGTGGTCTGAATTCATTATTCAATTCCAACAGACAGAGAAACTTTCCTTACTACATGGAGAAAAAGTCATCGTGAGAGCCACGTTTTATATCTGAAAATGGACTTAGATGCCACAGTAGGACTTGGCAATTCATTGCAGAACTCTTCCACATCAGAGTAATTACATTAATTGCTGTTTTTTTTTTTTTTTTTGGTAGTTTATAAACTCTCTTCCACAGTTTAAAAGTAAAAACTTGATGGAAAACACAGCATTTGCAGATGAGAAAAATCATTTCCTTAAAGTATTGCTCTTCTTTTTGTGTGAATGGCTGTATACAAAAAAGAGTTGGTTATTCTCTTCCGTAGCTGGTGTTAGGTGACTAATCTATTAGGACAGTAAGAACCTGTTGGCAATTAAAATTAACCTCAGTCACATGAATTTTTCTTTCACATCTACTTCATGTCTGAGAACCTCGGTGCAAAAGCAATAAAACACACACACAGTGAAAGACTACCTGGATGCAGTCTTTTGGTCCACATTTTCTGAAGAAAGGAAAAGTTCTAGACAAAACCGAATTTACATTTTAAAAAAATATAAGGCAAGGCAATCTGAAACTTTCATTTTTAGAATAGTTAACGTTATAAAAGACCACTAACATAATCTAGTCCAACTGTCAACCCATCACCACCATGCCCAATAAACCATGTCCCTCACTGTCACAACTCCAGGTTTCTTGAAGATCTCCAGGGGCAGTGACTCCACCACTTCCTTAGGCTGCCGATTCCAATTAAACCTGAGAAATTAACATTTCCATAAGCTAACTGAGCCTGTTGATTCTTTGAAATAAACTACAAACTGTCTGATCCAATTAAGACTAGTTTTTCTTTCTTACTAATTACTAGTTAATTAAGAGAAAAGCATTTCAGGTAACTGCCCTGATGGAAGGAAATATCAATAGGAAGATAAAAAACTGGGGGACAGGACTGATGCTATGGGATGATTAAGTAAAATAATGTAGAGGTACATGGGATGATCCAAAAGTAAGGACTCCTATTTTATTATGTTGGTCCACAACATCAAAGCTGGATGCTTGTGGTACAGCAGTAGACATTCAACCTTTCCACCAATATCCTATTACATTTTTGTTGCCTTGTGACAGATGGCAGCAGAGGGTAATATGACAAAATGGTGTCTGACATGGAATTAAGTATGAAGCAAAAGTGTGCGTCATCAAATCCCTCCACACAGGAGGAATTGGACCCAGTGAATTAATGAATGGTTGCTAAACATTTATGGAGATCAAACTATGGACATCAGCACAGTGAGGTAATAGGTAGTAACAACGACAGTGGGCCACCTCAAATAGTGCAAATTTTTATGAGTGTAGCATGCATTCTTGTTCATTGCTGGTGGAAATACATAGCTAACGGTGGTCACCGTTGAAAAATATTGTTTTGTAGTTGAGAAGTTGCTCTTTCAAAAAATACTATTGTGCTCTTTGTATCTGTTGTAATTTCCATGGAAATCAATGAGACATTTATTTCAGAGTGACCTATATGCACACTTCCTTTTTAAAGCACTTCTCTGGGTACACTGAAATTTAGAGGCTCTTTCTTTCAGTTCACAATAACCACAATTCAGATTTTTGCTCAACCTTCTAGAGAACATCCCAGAAAAAGGAAGTAAATTCTGTTGCCTAACAATTAGATGCACATGTTGACTCTAATTGTAGTTCTGAGTTAGATAGAAAGGACTTTTACTGCTACATTTTTAGTTGAACATGTGGAATTCTATCCAAGTTATTGATTTTGCTTAAAATACCTATGGTAAAGAACATAAAATAATTCTGTAATTTTTTTTCTGGTTGATGCAATCCAGTTTTTCAATGTTTATTTATGATTTCACCACCAAACTAAAACATTAGCTGCTTATAATACCTTGGTCTTCATAACCACTGTCTTTAAGAAATAAAAAAAACCTTTTCCCTTAATAAGATTGTATCTGTATACATGAAAGATTTTGCCTTAGTTACTTAGCTTTCAATAGCCTGAATGAACTATATGACTTCCAAGGTTAGTGTGAAGAATTTTTAAATGCTTTTGTCTGGGCTACAGATATTAGCAGAATATTTCAGCTAGTCAAATGGAGACATTCTTTTAAAAGTAAAATTTTCATATATTTTTGTTCCTAGACAAGACAGTCCATGTTTTAAAGACTCTTGTCTTCCCTACAGTCCTATATTAGAGACAATTCCAATCAGATAAGACTTACAGCAGTAGTTCTATTCACTGCAGTTCTGAAAAGCATTTTTGCCACAAGGTGGCAAACTATGTCCACAGGTTCAAATCGAAAACAAAATGTAGAGGTGTCAAAACTTCTCTAAAAGCCTTATATTTCCTCTGCTCAAACAAACAAAAAACTGACATATCAATATCTGATGAATCTGTACTGTGTGGAGATAGAACACTTTTTTTCTTATGAAATAAGAAGTCATGAAGGGGGAGAAAGAGGCATTCATCATGTTAATACTTTTAACTCAACACAACTCACAGAATGTTCATTTAAACAAACCTTTCAGATCTTTCTAACAAAGTATTCTAAATAGAATAAGAGCAAAGTATGAGTCTATGGGAACAACTGCTAAACTTCTGAATAAGTTTTAACATAATTATTAGAGATATCTTGATGAATTTAAGACTTGCACTGGGGTCAAAACTTCTCCAACTGAAAGTAACATTTTGAATGATTTTCAGTGGAGATTTACATGACATACAAATCCACAGATCTTCATAAAAATATTTTAAAAACACAAACAAAACAACAACAACAAAGCTACCCCCTGCATCTAAACAATGACAAAATTGCCTTATTGCAAAACAAGTGTAATTTGTCACCTATTTTTTCCATGCATGATTTAAGCAGAATACAAGGAAGGTAGATGACCTGATGACCTTATTAATGGACTTATCAAAAGAAAATATTTTTTTTTTTTATAAAAAAAAAAAAAAAAAAAAATTTTTTTTTCTTTATTATTTTTTTTTTTTTTTTTTTTTTTACAATTACAACAAATATTTCAAGTACAGAGATCCTTAAAGAGAAATCCGTAAGAAAGGATGAAAGGATGAAAACTACACAAGCTTCTCTTCTGCTTTCTGTTGCTTCATTGAAGTTGCATTTAATAGCACAGTGTTTGAAAAATTTATGATTATATCCATCAGAATTAACTTAGAGAAAAATAAACAAAGCTAATAAATACAACTGTAAACAGTAGTGCAGAGATATCACTGTTCTGATCAAAAGCAAAAGTGCAGTTAGAAGAACACTTCTGTTTTTTTGTGTGTGTGTTTTTTTTGTTGTTGTTTTGTTTTTTGTTTTTTTGTTTGTTTGGTTGTTTTTTTTTTTTTTTTTTTTTTTTTAGGAGATAATTAAAATTCCTCGGATGACTTGTTGGGTTTTTAAGGAAACTGAACCTTTAAAAAAATAGAAAATAAATGCAGCAGGTTTTCAGTCACTTCCAGGAAGACAAAATAGGGAAAATGAAAATGCTTCATACTAGGAGTATTTGGACATAAATAAGGAAAACTAAAATGTGGATGGAGAACATCCACAGCAAAGGAGGAAATTGTTTTTTGGAGCCAAAATTTCATTTGAGGGTCTTACTTATAGAAGTACTGAAAGAAAAGTCAGATGTGATTTTCCTTTCCTCTTTTCAGATTCTACATTTAGGTATTTTGTTTTTTTCCTGTTGAATTCAGTCATACTGTGTTTGTGTGATTTTTGAACAATCCAAAGGGAAGCCGTAAGGGAGCAAAATCTGAGCTAGAAGGACTCATGTTAGGCAGTACTTCTGATAAATGACAAACCTGCTATAATGGTTCTACAAAAGGTCCATGCAGAAGGAGTCTTTAAATAGATGTTGACAGTTAGTTGATCTTTCCTTCTTATTTTTGAGGCATTCCAGTCCTAATGGAAAAAACAGTGGGAATCAAAAAAGTCTATCATCTCCATTCCACTGAGACGCTTCCCTTTCCTGGCATGTCAGAACTTCATAAAATGTACAAACTTTTATTGAAGCTAAGGAGTTAACATCTGGGATAAAATCAAGCTTTAAGTATTTCAATCTTTGTAGCTGGAGAGTTATTTAAGCTTAAAAACATTGAACTGAGCAGTAGATTAATATCATCAGGTTGTTTATAAAGATTCACAGTCCTCCTTGGAAAGACAAGTTTGATTTAGTAATAGAAGTGTATTTTTGTAAGGAAATGTGGCACAAACTCAGGGTTTTGTAGTGAAATGCCTAAAAATTTGTCCTCTGTTTCAAGTTTGGTAGCTAAAAAGCCAAATGTACTCATAGTTGACACATTCTGAGTTATTGCTCCTTAAACAGCTGTGCAGCATATCTGGACAGCTGAGCAGGAATATTTCACTGCTGATGAATAGTTTGATGTTGTCAGCAGGTAGTGATTGCTGTGGTTATAATCACAATAAAGTCAATAAATTCTGAAACCAGGACATGACCTCTGCTGAAGGAGATCAGTATGGGGTTAATGTGTATGGCTAGAATATGATTTCATCTCTAAATAAAAATTTTGGACATCAAACATGCAGGTATTGAATACATCTGTTTTGGGTGAACAAAGAGTCTTGGTCAACTGTAGACTGATATTTTCCACTTCCAAGTATCATTAGGCTTACATAAGCAGTAATGTGACCTAGAAGCTTTTGGAAGGCTCAGCTGTGTGATCTAGGTACAGCTAGCACTGAGTAGCAGCTGTTATTTGTAATCTGTGACAGGTTACATGAGATAATTAATTGTGCATAGTTAAAAATAAATAAATAAATGAGATCACTGAGTTATTAATTAATAGTTAATGATTCAGAAGAAAAATACCAGCATGAAAATATGAGTGGAAATAAAAAGTCATGTCAGAGCATGGTAAATAAGCAATTTTCAAGATCAATTGTCTGAAGGAACAGCAGAACATAAACACTTCTGCACTTCACCAATTGAGATCAGGCCTACAGACGCTAGTAGAATTTTAGTATCACATAATAGTTTGAGCTGGAAGGGATCTTTAAGTACTGTCTAGTTGAGCTCCCCTGCAATGAGGAGGTTGCTCAGAGTCCCATCTGGCCTGACCTTGAATGTCTCAAGGGATGAGATATCCATCACCTTTGTGGACAACCTGTTTCTGTGCTTCAGTATTCTTAATGTAAAAAAACTTTTTCTTTATATCTGGTCTATTTGGTCTATCTCATCTCTTCAACTTTAAAAACATTTCCCCTTGTCCTATCACAACAGACCCTACTGAAGAGTCTGTTCCTTTCTTTCTTGAAGTCCCCCTTTGGATACTGACTGTACTGGTATCTGTGAGTGTATCTTAGTCTATATCTTGGGGGTAAGCCATAGTTTTTTCTTAATAACATACTTGACCCAGCTCATGCCTACATGCTCTATCTAATAAGAATCGTGTTGTGCTCATCAGTTCTGTGCCTTACCTTGCCCTTACATTTCCATACCTGAAATAGCTTGCCAAAGTGAAAGCGGCCCAAAGATAAGGAATGTCCAAAAAGAGTGTGAAAGTTATGACATATATGAAAAACAATTTGATTAAACTTAACAGACAAGTAGACAGTTTGTTATTCTTTCCTGTAAAATTTCAGTTTTTCACTTCTTCAAATTTAGCTATTCTTTATTTATTTGGATTGGGGGAATGAAAGGGGAGCTTTGGATGTATTTCAATACATATAATTAGTTATTTTCAATTCTAATTATTTCAGATTACTTTCAGAGAAATTTTCTTGGACAACACATGATGCTTGTCTTTTTGGGTAAATATGATTTATTGCTCAAAAATAACACTGCTGGTTGCAAGATTTTCTTGAAATTTGTTTAATTAAGAACCTTTTCCCAAACCTTGCTGTCATGCAAGTTTCATTAGTTTACATTGGATTAACCTCATCAGCATATGATGATACAGATCAACAATGATTGGTAGTGATTCTTCTCATTCTTCTACTTGATGTTCCAGTGAGTTTGAACAGTTTTTGTCATTTTCAATTGTTTTTAACAAAAAGCGTTAAGTTGGAGCTTCAAAATTTTTACAAGTCATTCTTTCATTTTATCTGTTTTATTCTTGCCAAATAACTATCCCAGACCAAGCACATGTTGAAAGAAGAGAATGTGTGCAGGGATGATGATGTGTCTTATGCTCAGTTCATTATGGGCGGCAACCTATCAATCAGGCACAGCCCTTGAGAAGACTTTCAAAGAAGATAAACTAAGTACCAGATACACCCCAGACCTGGAATTCTTTTAGGGAATTTCTTTTCATACATAATATAGCATAATAAAATAATACTGATATCTATAAAAAAGTAATATCAAACAGTTGCTCGTTAAGATTCTAACAATAGCATTGAGAGAAGTGAGAACTGTGATTTTGTTCTAGCATTGATTTGTTGGCAAAAATTTTATATACACTTCTGCTAATGTCGAGTGTAAAGGTCAAACTACAGAATGAATTCATATTGTCTGGTTATATGTACAGTTCAGCCAAGAATTATGTCCATTAAGGCATATGTTCTAAAATGTCCACAGTAAAGAAGCCCCGCTGAGTCCAGTTATTAGAATCTTTCCTTCCATTCTTTGTGTTTCTGTCTAGTAACTTCTTATCTGTAATGTACACGTGATATAAGTTGTCCATTCTTTATAACAGTATCCTTATCTCTCACACCATTTTCTTATGTTGAATACACATGGAACAGCTTGCAGATGGTACCATTACTGATATCTTTTTAGAAGAATTTTGACATTACAGTAAGCTATTAAACCTTTCTTAGAAAACATATCTCAGAATATCAACTTGTGGAACCTGGGAGAAAGAATAAAAATAAGTTGATGCATTACTTAGACCCTAAGTAATATTTAATGTCTGTAAGATACATATATCAGTGCTTCATTTTCAGAACTGGCTCAAATCACTTAGGTGGTTTTATTGGGAAATATATAGAAAATTTCTGAGTAGTTTTCACAGGCTCAAAGTCTAAATTTATTCCTTCACCTCAAAGCAACATGAAAATTCTTCAGAATCATAATTTTTTAGGGGCTAAATGATTAATAAATCAAGTTGTTAAGCAAAGGTCAAAGTACCTCAATTCTATCCCACCTATACAAAAATGTCAATTATTTCACCTCATGCCCTCTGCTTTATTTTTGTGATTTTTTTATTGCTTTTGGAGAGTAATGTACATGTCTTAGAACTTAAAACCACATCACATTTTAGTTAGTAACACTTACTGGCAATGGGAGGATAATAATTTCTTCTTTCACTCACACAATGATCTTCTTCAAGAAACGGACTCTTTAAGAACTATATGAGATGACTAAAATCCTCTTTTTCAAAGTCCTGCATTGCCAATTCCTGAAAAAATTCAAACACTGATGGGCAGTATTTTATGAACTGCAGCCCAAGATTCAGTGCTCTGTGGTCTGGAACTCAAGACAGGAAGAGTATTTAATAGGTTTTTTTGTTTCTTTGTTTCATAATATTTGTAGCTAAGAGGGCAAATAAAAGAATATGATATTCTATAGAATTTTTTTTTCAGTTGACAATCCAGTGACTTAAAATTTGGAGAATGGCTGTTCTGAAGCAGGTCTTGGTCTTTTTCTAGTATATTATATTAAAGATTTTTATCACAAATAGTAATACTCTAACAATGCCACTTTTCTGAAGTTACTCTTGTGTATAATCAAGATGTTATAGCCACAATATAATCAAGAGAATTAGGCAAAGTAAACAACAATCACAAAAGAGAATAAGTGGAAGAGCTTACCCTTCGGCTGAGCTCACCAGAAGACACCAAGAGACGTGATCTCCAGAAGAGATCCTTCCCCTCTGGTAGCCAGCTCTTAAATAGGTCTAGGAGGGGTGCAGCCTGGCTCCACCCCTTCCGGCAGCACCGCTGAATTGCCTTCACCTGTGCTCCTCTGGCTGACTCATGGCTTGCCTCAGGTGATTAATCAGAGGTTCAGGCCGTGACTCAGCAGTTCCCATACACTCTTGTAATAGTATCGAGTAATAAGATCAGAAGCTTACTATGCTTATTACAATATAATCAATATGAATAGAGAAAAGCCTTGCCCCTAAACATTTAAAAAAGGAAATGAAAGAAGTATTTTGGTGCGGTAAATGATGAATATCCGTTTCAGTGGTCGTGCATAAGACTGAACATTTCACTTAACTGCATTTACTGGGGATAAGGGTGCACTAATAGTCAGCCACTGCACCTCGTTAATGCCTTGAGTCTCCTTAGAAGAATCACTTGTTTGTGACTTCGGTTAGGGATATCAGTTGATAGGGATTTGGTTGATCAGCATATCTGTGAACCCAAATAAAACCAAAGGATGTCATTGTGCAGGGAGGAAATGTGAGATACACACTACTTAATACAATTTAGAAAATGATTTAATATAATTTCCTCCCAAGCTAGGTGAGTCAAATAAGAACAAATTGGAAAACCAAACTGCACAAAAACCTGTCCAGATACTGAAGGAGGGAGGTCACCACTCAGCAGAAGTGCTGGATGTAGCCTGAACAGGTATTATGGACAGATAAGAAAAACAGTTACATGATGGAAGTGCCTACTCCACTAAGCAGTCTGAATACTTTTTCCATTAGGTCTATTCAGATACCTTTGATAGCTGATCAGTCCTCAGTTATATTATCACATCAGAATTACAGCAGGGACAGATGTCTGTACTCAGGCAAAGAGAAATGCAAACCTGAACAAGGTCATCATGCAACAGCTGCTAAAAGACTGTAAAATTTAGCAGTATTTTTCCTGTTGCATTTACAGACATTTTAAGGGAAAATCAATGCACTTTGATAGATTACATCCATAGTGTCTTGATGAGGGATGTAGGGAATGGGGCAGGCAACACTGCCTCATTTGATGTAATATCAGAAATATCAAGTTAGGGATATGTGTAGTCATGGATCTTTATTGACTCCATGTCTGTTGAAGCTTAATTTTTGTGACTTTCCTGCTTGAAGGAATTAAACATTTGTTTTGCATTCACATAGCCATTTACAGCTTTCTTATGGTTTAAGTCTGAAAATATTATGTTTCCATGGGTATTCCAAGATTATTTCAGTGCAATTTAAACAAAAGCATGAAATATAAGCATTTCTTTTTAATTACTTTTTTTTTTTTTTTTTTTTTTTTTTTCCCAGTGAAGAATCTGTATGTAGTTTGTATAGACTTTTCACTCACTTGTTTTCCCCAGGAACTGGAGCAAGCAATGCTTGACTGTTGAGTTAAGGTGTAAATTCCACAGGGATAGCTCCAGACTGCCATGTATTTTCATACATTCATATAGTAATGGGAAACAAATTAAGTGTGCTAAGCAATCATCTAAAAGATTAATAGATTAATAAAACCACATCAATAAAACAACGGAATGAGAAGCAGCAAATCACCAGGATGTCTGTAAACCCTTAAAAAAGCACAAGACTTAGAGGCAGAAAAGATACACAAAGCCATGGAGAACTTCATCACTCATATTTCAAAGACAGAGGAAGGTAAAGGGTTGTCCAAGTTCCACTGAGGTCATTGGAAATTTTAGTGTGTTTACTTTGATTAAGTTGGATTTGTCCTTAAAAACTAGTCTGGTTTCCCCATACTACATGAGAAATGTTGCTCAAGAGAAAGGAAAGGGACAGATAGACTGAGGTGTGTAGCCTATGCTTTGCCAGCTGGCATGGAATAAATTGCTGACAATAGTCCTGGAGAGATGGTTGGTTTGGATGTCTGAAAGTTATTGGATTTTAACTAGGTTACAAAAAATCAAAACATGTCTGAGATAATCATTTGGGTCATTATGAACTGATGTTCCTAAATCATTGCAATTCTTGCCATAGGCATTAGAGAATCTACCTTTTAAGAACTTCTGGAACTCAGAGTTTTTTTCCTCCAGAGAACATCTGAAGTTACTGTGATCTGGAATATTTCTTTCTTGTCATACTTGACCCGGAATGACTGTAAGGCCTTGTCCTCTAGTTCAGGGCCTTGCTAGGCAGCTTAGTTAGATGTCTGGAGAACACTTATAAGTAAATGTAAATATATTTATATACTATGAATACATAAGTATCTCCAAAAGTGACTGAATTGAAGAGGCTGCAGATGGTTATTCCTCACAAGTCTAACATAGAATCATAGAATCACCAAGGTTGGAAAAGACCTAAAATCATCCAGTCCAACCATTCACCTATTACCAATAGCTCCCACTAAACCATGTCCCTCAACTCAACATCCAGTCTTTCCTTGAACACCCCAAGGGTCAGTGACTCCACCACCTCTCTGGGCAGTCCATTCCAGTGCCTGACCACCCTTTCTGAAAAGTAATACTTCCTAATGTCCAGCCTGAATCTCCCCTGCTGTAGCTTGAAACCATTCCCTCTGGTCCTATCACTAATGACAAGAGAGAAGAGGCTGACCCCCAGGACATGCCTCTCCCTTTGCCTGATGGTTTGTTTCCCCTCCTGTCCAGATTTCCCTCTCAACATAATCCACATTAGCACAAACTTTCCATTCCAATGGAAAAAGAATCTAACTTAATTCTTTCTCTGTTGAAAAGTAAAATCAAATGCTCTCAAATTTTCTTTGATCTGAGCTACAGAAACTGAAGGTTCATAAAAATTTAAAAAGATAAAACAATGTTCTTAGTGTATATCAGCCTAGTAGAATAAAAAGCTTTTGTTTGTTTGCTTGTTTCAAATATAGTGATTTTCCTGTTGCTCAGTCAAGCATTAAAAAAGAGCAGTCATTCTTTTACAGTTCAAATATATCATCAAGTATACAGCAGTTTCTCTGCATTTAGTAATATATTTTCTCTAGACAATTTCCAGTTCAGAGAAATAGGATGTTTGTTTTCTAATACAAGCAGGTGGATGAGTAGAAGGACCGTGACTGTGACCATGGACTAATGGACTAATAAAGAGAAAAGAAGTTTTGAAAAAGAGAGAATCTTCAAAAGGATTTCTGTGCTAATAGTCAGGAGGAATTCTAGCAGCAGGAAAGGAGAAAATCTAATAAACCTCAAAAAGACAAATAGTTAAAAAATAAGTTTAAGAGCCAAAACGAAGGGTGGGAGAAAAATGTTGAGAGAGAAGTCTTATCAGCCACATGAAGACTTTGAAGTTAACTTCAAAATCTGTTGCCAGTATTTCCTTTCTTTGTTAACAACAACTTTTGGTGTGAAAGATACATGCACTTTTTAAATGAGAGAGTAAAATAGCCTGATATCATTTGTACAAAGGATGATTGCAAGTATTACATTGCTACAGGCAACAGTAAGGCTAATGTCTTCAAGCCAGCTATATAATGAAAAGATTATCTAACTTAAAGATCTCCACAACTATTATCATTTCTTTTCACAAATCTTCTCTTACAATTCCTTTTCCTTAGATGTTCCATTAATGTTTTAGAGTTGACTTTAATGTTCTTGAAAAGGAAGTAGCTGAAAGATCCAATATGGTTTCTTCTTTAGAAGCCAAACATGTTTTAGCTCTGTCAACAATTTCTTTTTTTTTTTTTTTCATGGAAATATGAATAAGTGGCATATGGAAACTGCTTCTTATCACTGTTACCAATTTGACATTACTTTGCTGGAATATTTTATTTATGAGAGTCAAGTTTTAAACAAAGATACATTTCTTATAAAGGATATTTATGTGTAATATCCACTATTTGCCAACAGATGTAGGCTGTGAACCTCCAAGCATATTTAGATCATGCTACTAGAGTGATAGGTATTCTTTGATTTCTCAAAGCTTACTTTGCATCTGATTGGCAAAAATCCAGTGTGATTTCAAAAGCAGAAGTGTAATAAAAATTGCAAAGAGCACTGTTTTCACTTCACTTATTTCTGACATTCTTGTGGCAACTGCACATGGTGCTGTTAAGAAACAATTGAACAGATAGACAACAATATGTTGCTGACAAAATAGGTAAGAAGTTTTCTGCCTTGACCAATCCCTCAGCAGTCAGTAATACACCCAGGTGACATTTTAATTACATGTGAATTCAGTCAGGCTGCTGTTAAAGTTGGATTCTGGACAAACAGGACTTCTTGATGTGTGACCCATTCAACATCAAAGAGCAGTTTGCACATTATTATTCTTTCTCAGCTCTCTTTGTTCTGAGATGCTTTATGTACACGCATTCAAAAACAAATGGAAAAAGATCTAAAAAAAGAAGACAACTGAATCTTCTGAACTGACATTTTTCCAGGTTAAAATATGTAAGAATTGCTTTCTTTTTTTTTTTTTTTTTTTTTTTTTTTAAATCTTTTGTCCATCATTCTAAATGATTATATGCAAGTTTGTTCTTTATTGCAAATTTTCTTTCACTCTCATTTCATCAGAACTGTTGATATTTTAAACCTGAGTAATGATTGTTCCTAACCTACATCACTGTGAGGATACCATGTTTCACTAGTAAGTAGACCCCTAATTGCATGTTGCAAAATATCTTTGAGAAGTAAGGCAAATTAACACAACCAATGCAGACTTTTGCAAAGACATGAGCCAGTTAGGTCATAGTTAGCTTTTTAATCAAGTTGCTCTTGCTATAATATAGATGTACTCCGAAAATTTTATTGTTTTGCTCACATTGTAGGTATCTTTCTATGATTTTCTATGTTCCTTGTGTTGTAGTAAAATTAGTTTCTACTTTAATCTTGTCAATTTTAGTGAGGATCTTTCCTATCTTCAGACCATGTTCTGACATTCTGTGATGCTGTGGGAATGTATGGGAAGTGTTCAGTGGGTGGCTGCCATGGTTTCTTGCTTGCAACAAGGTTGAGATGCCAGC